CTGCCTTTCTGTTAAGGCTTCATCTCCATATACGGCACATAACTTCTTTTGTGCTTGCGATGCGTTCTTGCCTTTTCGGAAGTAATACAATAAAATGTGTCGGAAGTGCACGTCCTGTTCTTTCATTTTTAAATTGGGATAAAAACAAAACTAAAGAACTAAACAAAAATATTTTTTACTAATTAACCTAGAAGCCCATACAGTAAGAAAAAAATATAGGTTAGATGCTCTGGCCACGTTAACAAAGCAAAAGAAAGTATAGAATGAATCCGTCAACAAAAACGGCAATGACTTAGTTGCCAACCCAATATAATAACTGGAATATCCAGGGGGGGTTTTTTAGGGTTTTCACGCTATCAACAACCTGTTTTAAAGCAAGATCATTATAAGGACAACAAGATTGATGCTCATTCGTGGAAGTGGTGATAGAATGTGAAGTCCGATTATTTCCATTTAATTTAGAAAGAATGGGATTGCCTAGACTAATGTCCGAGAATTATATGGAGAGTGACCAGCAGTGCGATTGATGGCGATGGAGTGTGAAAATTGATCTCGCGGGCACTATTTGTGCCCACAAAGGTCGCGTAAACCCCGATGAGTCCACAACAGACAAGTGGAATCCCATACTCGCAGATTAGTGAAAGTAATCTACACAGCAAGTTGCAAATGAGACCTCGGGAGTAGGCTGAGTAGGGTAAACGTACAAACCGTCACATATGCATTCCCCACAACGCAGAGTGAACCAAAGGAAGACTTGAATTGCTTAGGTACTCAACCGAAGAATTCCACGATCACTTTTCCTCCCACCTATATTCATACCGCCCTTGATTCCACATCTCCAACTTTCATGAAAATCTGCCTTCTCCAGAGAAATAATTGGTTAGATCATACTCCATGCTCGACTTACTCATTCGTTCTTTCAGTTATGTGCAACCAGCTCAAAGACAAATACATCCTCTGGAACTAGAGGTCAGTCCCAATTTTCATTTATAGGGCATATCTTCTTCTACTTTGCAGTAGTAGCCTGATAGGCAAAGGCTCTGAAAGTTCCCTTTATCTCAAGATAATTGTTTCTAATGTTGGTACCTGTTGTGGAATAAATTTATAAAAGAACAATTTCCACTAGAATACAGCACGTCGAGAATTGCCAAAACGAAAGGCTAGCGATTGTAAGAGACCCGCCTGGTTAGTCAATCACGACGCAAGAATACCAAGCAGGTACATGCTGATGACTGTGTAACTGTAATCGCCATACATGAACGTTGAATGTCAATAACCCTATGCGTAAGGGAGTGAAGATATTCACACAGAAAATTCGTTCATATTCACAAGAGCAAACAAACAGACCTTAGAGGTGCCACAGCTTGCCGTATTGCCTTGGGACGAGAAATTCCCACAAGTGGTGTTTACATCGGCCATTATAGCCTATCAATATCTTCGAGCATGGCGCTCCCACAGACGTATTATTTATGCGCCTTAGAAGAGACGCATTAGACGTACGACCGCAACTATTCATAAAAAAAATATATGCACTCGTTTAGGTTGGATGAATTCACAAAAAAATAGGAAGAATTCGTTGAGAGTTATGCACTGACATGATGGTGAAACAGACAAATATTCGAGTATGAAGGCGAAGTTGATGGAGAATATATGAGAGAATACAAATAGAAGGTTCATCAAAAACTGGTGGAATTAAAATCAATATGCCAATTACATTATAACATTACTTCATGGCCTACCTTGATCCTGGCGATTTCTGCTTCTTGTGACTTGATTCTTGATTTTAGATCATGTTGACATGCCAATAGCTCCTGTTGCCTCACTGCCCAGTAATTGTAAATGGATAGAAGATACTGGGAGGCGGGGTCAAGCGGAATCGGCTCCTCACGAAGCTCGTCCTTGATCTGTTCAGGAATTTGTATTGGCGGTTGTTCACTAACTGGAGTCGCCACTTCGTCAACCCTTTCGTTGCACTCTTCCTTCGGAGGGGTAGTAGACACTACTTCTGGGAGCTCAGCAGACTTGGATATAGCACTGCTGTCAGCATAGCCAGTTGGTGTAGTTGGCCATTCAACAGGAAAGCTCTCGACCTTCGGGGTAGGCACTTCCGCCTTTTGTTCGGGTTTTGGAGATAGGGGAATCCTAACTGAAGCTGCTTTCGGAGCCGGTGGAAAAGAAGCAGGTTTTCTGAAAAGAGCAAAAAAAGTATTACTTCAGTCATAATGAAGAGATAGGCGCCTACAGCTAATATTACAAAAAATATGAAAGCAAAAACATGTTAAAATTGAGCGTGATATCAGTCATTGTGAAACAATAAGGGCAAATAAATATTCTTTCGGGAAACACAAATATTCAACGCATCTAATTAAAGAGAATAGAGGGAACGCGATGGACTTACCTCCCTGGGCAACGTAGGGTCATACGACAAAAAGTCTATGAACCGGCAGTTGACTTCAAGCTAACACGACCAAACTGTATGGCATATTCCACCACTTCCAACGTACTCGCTTTACCTTTACCTTTGTGTCCGTCTCCAACATCTGTGAATAGCTCTTCTGTCCCCCCCCCCCTCCCTCCACATTTAGTGATTGTCTGTTCCTCCCCTCTGAGAAGCCCGTAATCAACTAAAGGGCTAATGATAACTACAATAAAACCTGTCATTTGATAAAAAAAGATTAAAGGAAAAAGCTAAAAATATGCCCTAAAAGCACCGCTAAGGAAATAGGTAGTTCCGTTTTTCTTTCAACATCCATACTAACGTATTTCACTCTACTCTTTCACCAAGAGATACAATTCAAAGCCGTGCGCCGGTCAAGTCCTCATTCGAACCTCCTGATTAAATGGTGATTGTCGAAACCAGTGTAGACGCAAAAAATTTTGGCAGAGTAAGATATAATTCATCATGAGAAAAGATTTATTTATTTCAAATGGAAGGAGTTTTGGTCGATATCATTAGCCATTTAGCTGACTTCGGGCTTCACAGAGGGAAGGTTCATCAAAGTAGCAGAATGTCGAGGGGTGGGGATCAGAAGAGCGATTCACAGATGTAAAAGAGGCAGACAGACACAAAGGTAGAGAAAAAGGTGAGCTGAGTACTGTGGAAGTAGTCGAATATGGCATGCAATGGGGTCATGGTAGTTTGAAGTGAGAAGTCAACTGCCGGTTAATAGTGGTCGACTATGACATACAGTGAGGTCATGGTAGTTTGAAGTCAGAAGTCAACTGCCGGTTACTCATGGTAGTTTGAAGTCAGAAGTCAACTGCCGGTTAATAGATGGTAGTTTGAAGTGAGAAGTCAACTGCCAGTTAATAGTATGGTAGTTTGAAGTCAGAAGTCAACTGCCGGTTAATAGGGATCTTTTTGCCTTATGAGTATACGTTGCCCAGGGTGCACCACCTGTTTGCCGTATGAGTATAAGTTGCCCAGGGTGCACCACGTGGAGGTAAGTCTATCGTACACCCTTGATGAGAAAAGATAACTGGATGAATTTCAGCCCAAAAAATAACTGAAGGAAGCGCGGTAGTATGATTTGTTGCTACGATGCGCAAAGGTAGAAATACAGGGCAAAGAGGAAAACTGTCACAGATTAGACAGATCACAAAAGAACATATAACTTGAGTAGAACTAATGCAGGTTGAAAGCAATCCCCTTCAATATAGCATTTAATCCGCGCACAACGAGAAGAAATTAATTCAATTGCGACAATTTCAAGTAGTCGGCCTGACTCTGCTACACTCAACCCACTCAAGAGAGTCATGCCAGCTAACAAACCGCCAAGTCGGATAAAACCAGAGTTTGAGGAGAAAAAAAAATGGTCATAGAACCGCTCATTCTCCTCCTCCTTCTCCTCCTTTTTACGTTGCCGAATGCGTGCTCCAATGGGGTTATTTCAAGCTCAAAAAGAGAGCCTGCGATCATGGAAACCAGATTCAGAACAAAATTGGAGCAAGAAACAAATGCAAAGATGTACAGAGGGCATGTTGAAAAAGACAAGCAGCTCCCTATCTCCCTCCAATTTCCCATAATTTCAGATACGCACAACCTTTTGCCGCATTATTAAGCTCTGTATGATCGTTAGGTGACTGGATCTATTCCTGAGTTGGGGAATGGTGAGAGATTGAATCAAAAAGGCGAAAAATCTTCAAAATTAGAGCTACTCTCGAATTTCTACCACAACAAAGGGGACCGTTATTATTTCTCCTTGCTTCCGCCAGCATTTTTGGGGGGACAAATAGATGTCCGTGAAGCATCGATTGCCTAAAAAGCTTCAAATTCTCGGTCGATTTTAGGGACCGACGATTATGAGTTGTAGTGCTGGTACACATCACGGAAAACCCAGATAGTTTGGGTGATTTAATTATAATTGTGTGTGCTTGCAATAATCAAAATAAACCGCTTTCCCAATTAAAATTTCCTCGAAGATTGTAAACACTTGGGTAGTACGGCGTTACAACCGCATTATTCTCAGGCGCCTATCTTCAGATTCAGTGAGTGTTCTCAAGTGGTGTGTGTGCTTGCAAATTACTTAAAAGATGGTCAAAGTGTTGCAGTTTTCCTCCCAATTAACGATGGCCTGAAATCCTTCTGTCTACCTCACAACCACCATTTGTAAATTAAAAGATCACTCATTCCCATTCCTGCAACATGCTATCCTTCACCACAAAAGCTTGCTCTCACCACTGCCTCTCCCATCCCGCACTCTCTCTCTCTCTCAAAATCGGTTGCCATAGTGAAGATTGGTGGCAAATAGGTAAAGTTTAATGAATTAGTTAGAGTTGGGGGTGCGCGATAGAATTACCTCCACGTGGTGCACCCTGGGCAACGTATACTTATACGACAAAAAGGTCTATTAACTGGCAGTTGACTTCTCACTTCACAAAAAAGGCTTATAAATCGGTCGTTGAATTTTGATTCCAAACTACCATGGACTCGACTGTATGTCATATTCGACTACTTCCACAGCACTCATCTTACATTTTCTCTGCCTTTTTCTCCAACTGTCTATTTACGTCTTTGAAACACTCTTCAAATCCCCCCCCCCTTCTCGACTTTTTCTCCCTTTGATGTTTCTTCCCCTCTGTGAGGCCTGAAGTCAACTAAAGGGCTAATGATAACTATCAAAACGCCTGCCATTTGCAATAAATAAATAAATGAATAGTTAAAGGACAACAGGATTGCAGAGTTGATAAATACCACCTTCTGCCTACATGACGATTATTTCAGATCAGATTTCGAGTAAAGAGGAGTTTGTAATTAATTAATGCCCAAAACTTTAGTTTCCACTACAAATACTCCCATCAACATCTACGTTAACTTAGAAACGAGTCAAATATCACTTATCATGAATGAGTCCAATAGGAGACCATGATTCTCTAAAGCAAATAATGCATTAATCAATACTTACTTACTCAACTGCTTTTATACAAATTCGATTCCCTTTTTTGAGTATTTTAAAGCCACTTGCAAGCAAGTCCATTCAAACCATATTCCCCAAACTAGAATTATTTACCATCAATGGGAGAGAGAGGGAGATTAAAAATTCCCATTTTCCAATCCAAAAGAGCATTTGCTTTTGCCAAAATAAGAGGCAACAATAATAAACCCTGCTACACCACATATAAGTGTATATTTAACAATTTCCTATTTCCGCAAATAAAACCACCAGATAATGAGAGGCGTCGCGTGCATGAAGGGGAACAAGGTTGCTGCAATATTATTGAAAATAAATAAATGAAAGAAAGAAAAATAAATTGCATAATAGATAAAAAACCAACTTAACGGAGATATGCGGAAAGCGTCAACAGAGTCACAGTTTCATAAAATTGAATAAGTTACCTTGAGAAATACCAACCACATTAAGATGGATCGTCTACAGAACACACCCGCACAGAAAAAAACAACCAAACTTCCATCAATTAAATTTTATTTCCAACCGTGGATAGTGGACAGTGTCACTCTCCGATATAGCCGATTGGCCAAGAATCGAAGCCGGACACGATTGCTTGGCAAAACACCTTCACAGATTGGGAGTATACACTCAACGCACATGCCCTCTATGCAACCTACATGAGGAAATGGAGAAGACCCACCTGATTCGATGTCCGCCTCTAAAGACAACGACGGAAAGCCAGAGATACTGGGAAGCAAGAAGACAGCTAATGAACGGCTATTAATTAACTGCTATAAAAGTACCCCCCACCCTTGGGGGAAGCTGAAGTCAAAGTTTAAGGGCTAATGATAAATATCACAAAGCCTATCATTTGAAATAATAATAATTTCCAACCGCTTAATTGGGATGCTTGTAAGCCAACCGCAGGCCAAAGATTAACACCTTAGTATTGTAAACAGGCCTCTGATGTAAATTATCCACTACGGAAGCAATCAGCATAGGAGAGGATTTTAGTGAACAAATTGGCAAAATGATTTAGCGATTGCTGAACCACAGAGGAGATGGGAAGGGGGGAGGCTGAAAGCATATAATAATTTAAAGTTGTACACTCGCTAATAAATGCAGTAGTAAAGAGCTCCAAATCTTCCCAATGTCTTCCTGATTATACCTAGGCAAAGCCAATTGCTAATTAGTAATAAATTTGACTTATTTGTTAGAATATTTCATGTTGCACAAGGTCGTTGTCAGGCCGAATTTTGGGTGTAGAGCCTTCCACTCTGGTGGCCCCTTGTTAAGCCTGAGGTGCGGCTTTTGTGCCACTCAACAACTAGTAATCAGATAGATGGAAAGGGGTGTCAGTATTGGGCAGAAACTTGCCCAAAAAGGTGCACTAAATGCCTTCTGCTGAGAGAAAACCCTTATTTTTTATATAAGATAAAGAGACGGCAGTCATATTCTTAAAAGAATGTCTGCAATTTTTCCTACTTGCTTAAACAGAATTAAACAAAAATATGACTTTCTGAAAGTAAAAAAAAAAAATAACAAACAAGCAAATTAAGCAGGAAATCATTTAACCAGACATTAGATGGGAGTTGTCTCATGACGCATCAACGCATTCTGTTTAAATGTCAACCCTCCTCCACCCCCTCCTCTACCCACCCTCCCCAATAATCTAACCAACACCGAGATAGCACTTTAGATAATTGTCACAAACCCAAAATTGTAATCCGCAGATCAATGGGTGGGAAGGTGGCAGGAAAAATGCAGAAGACTAAATCTCGATTTATAGAGATGTTTAAGTCCGGGGTGCGGGAGAGACTTACCTCCATGTGATGCACCCTGGGCAACGTATATTCCCCTAGGGCAAAAAGCCTATTTAACCGGTATTTGACTTCAAACTGTCACAACCCAACTCTATATGTCGTATTCGACCACTTTCACAGTACTCATCTTACCTTTTCTCTGCCTTTGTGTCTGTCTGTCTCTTTTACATCCACGAATCACTCTTCTCCCCCCCCCCCCCCCACTATCGACGTTTTTCCACCTTGATGTTCCTTCCCCTCTGTGAAGCCTGAAGCAAACTAGACATTCGATGGGAGTTGTTTAATGACGTTCAAAACACTAGATGAACGTTCGTCGTCACTCGCTACCATTCGAAGATAAAGAGAACGATTGTTCGTACAGCTAATTTCAATGCGTTATTGCGTGGCAATGGAAATTTGCCCATTCATTTACAACGAAATAGGAAATTGGAAAGCAACAGAGATGCATTGAATTTATTCAAGAAATTAATTTTCAAATAAACCAAAAAAAAACACCAAAATGTACTTAGGATTAAATGCGGTGAGAAAGGCGTTGGCTTTTCTCAACTAATCTCGCACTTCCAAATTCAAAAGTAAGGGAAAGACCAATCAATGCTTCAAACCCAATTTCCACGGGACAATCGATTGTTCTGCCCACGCTCCCTTAGCTGCAATTCCAACCCCCCCCTCCTCCTCCTCCTCCCACCCTCTCTTCGAACTCAATTGAGGTTAAGCAAAAGGAGGGGGAGGGGGGAGGCGGAGTTGATTGAAAAAGAGAGGAGGAGAGTTTGGCAGGTAAGCTGTTGAGAGAAGGGAAGAGGCGGGGGGGGGGGGGGGGGGGGGGGGGNGGGGGGTGGCGAATGAGATGGGCGAGAAGAAGAAGACGAAAAACAAAGCGACTTTGTTCTATCGTTATGTGTTAAGTGTTTATTTCCGTGTGAATAAACGAGCAAATGAAGCGGTTGAGTAATCAAAAAACCCACCTACCGACTAGTAGTAAAGTATAAGTCATCGGAAGTAGAATTTGGGTTTCGAAAAGTTCCTATTGGATGGCTGTATTTATATGAGTAACACCTGACACATTGCAGAAGACTCATGGAGTAGTGGAAAACGCTACGTCTAGAACTGCGCCCTGGTCAATGTGCACGTCTATCAGACCACAAAATAATTCCTTAGCTGTGCAAATTCCCTGATGTGGATGACTGAACGTGATTACTATCTCTGGGGAATGAAATGGATACCTTAAAGGAAGATATTAAAAAAAAGAACAATGAAATTTGAAGCAGGTAATCAAAGATCCAAACCAGAGAAGGAGAGGGGGCGGGTTGCTTTAATCGTACAGGTGATTATGGGAGAAACGACGAAAGCAATACAAGTGGGTAGCCACACACGACCTTAAGTACTACATTTCTCAAGAATTAAAATGCCTCCTTAAACATTTCAGGAGAGAGATAGAGAAAGAGAGAGGGAGTTCCTCATCAAAGTGGAGAGTGAACATCCGCTCTCTACCAACGTCAACAACCATTATATCTCCCTTGTATTCTCCCTAATTTAACAACTAACCCTATGAATTCAGTAAATAAAGTTGTGAAGAGCACCTTTCCTCCTTTCGCTCAAAATGTGTGTGAGTTTTAAAGGCAATTAAATGTTGGAATAATTTTAAGGCCAAACATATATATTTGAAGATTTTTGCATCCCTTATTTAAGCCGATAAAAATATGACAGAAAGTATTTATGCAACTGGTGCTGTTAGGCCATAAACACTTGGAAAATTTAATGCTTATTATTAGCGCAACACAGTCAGAGATGGTAGGACTTGACTTAGGACTTAGGTTTAGCTGAAAAGCTTCAAGGTACTAGAAAACAGCCGGCATTCTTTATTAAATTAGCTTTGAGAACCTATTTTGTTTTGTTTTGTTCTTTTTTATCTTTACTAAAAGTATTTATATCAAATGGCAGGCGTTTTGATAGTTATCATTGGCCCACTAGTTGACTTCAGGCCTCACAGAGAGGAGGAGGAACAGCAAAGTGAGAAAAAAGTCAAGATGGGGAGAGGGATAGAAGAGTTTTTCGAAGACGAAGGTAGAAAATGTGGAAAAAGGTGAGGTGAGTACTGTGTTAGGGGTAGTTTGAAGTCAGAAGTCAACTACCTATTGATAGACTTTTTTGCCATACAAGCATACGTTACCCAGGTTGCACCAGATTGCACCAGGTGGAGGTAAGTCTATCGCACACCCCATATTACTATAAAAGTATACTAACCTTAAAGAGAAATTGAAGACCTCTTCAGTATCTAATGACTCGGTTGGCACCAGTTCCCTCGGCAGATTGCACTGCTGCTGATGCTGTTGCTGCTGATGTGGAAGTTGAGACTGTGTTTGAGAACTAACTTGACAGAGTTTGAGACGTCGTTTGAGCATAGTGACATTCTGCTGAAGCTCCCAGAACTCAGCATCAAGACTGGGAAGTGGAGGCTCCACTGCAAAAGACTTAGTGGGCACTGCTGCAGCAAGACGCTTCTTCTGCCTTTTCTCGAGACGCGGGGAGACCAAGTCGAACTGGGACACAGGTAGTCGGGAACTCATTGGTCGAGAAACTGCAAAAAAAAACGAAGAAACACGAATGAAACACAAAGTCGTAGGCATTCAAAAAGTATAGCTAAAGTTAACTCTCTCTCTCGCACAATTGAAAACATATAAAGTTTTTGTCTATATAGGTAATAATACTAACTATCTTCGAATCAATTGCTTTTAACAATATTGCTTCCAAGAGGCAATTGATGAAATCCACCCAGGAGAGAACACATTGAAACCAAGACCGCAATGCCTAATGGCTCAAACACCACTAATTAGAAACAGAAATACAAAAAAAACAAAGACTGCCCCGTCATTGAAGTTATAATGAGACACGGGAAGCGATAAGGCGAAAGGCATTTGAATTAGACTCGTCGTCATGATAACGACAATAACCTGAGAGGAGGGAGAAAAGTTGGCTCTAATGAGAAATTTACGTTCTGCAGACAAGATTCAACCGATCATTCTCCCATTCCTGAATACAAGACATTGCTGAACATCAATCACGTAATCCCAGCATTGGCGGGGAAGTGTATGACAGGCAAGCCACTTCATGCGAAAGTAAAGCAAGCTGGTTTTAGGAGTAGTGAAAAGAGCTGAATTTATCCCACGACACGAGCCCTACTAGGCCCCAAAAGTCGTGTGAAGGGAAAAGCAAAAGGATTGTCAATTTTCCTCAAATACGCACCTCTCTCGAGAGGAGACACATCCTCAGTGCTGGCAAAAGTTCTGCTCTCCGAAACCGCGGTTCCCTTGCACTTGACAAGCTCTTGTTGAACGCGCTCCAGGCGTGCTTCATGACGCTTCAATTCAGCACGAATTGCATCAGGATCAGTGAGCTCAAGAAGCATCTTCTTGTGCTTTATCTTGGACACGAGGTGTTGAACCTAATTGCAGGAAAGAGTAATCCATATTAAAAAAATAAACACAGTGTAAAACATTTAATACTGAAATTCACATCACATCAATTTTAACGATAGTATAAAAAAGTGGGATAGGAAGGAGCATGTGACGCACTACTAAAAATGAGAAGATATATCAGATGATAAAATATATAATATTATATGGCGTACTCAGAGGTGTGCGATAGACTTACCTCCATGTGGTACACACTGGGCAACGTATACTCAAGCGGCAAAAAAGTCTATAAACCGACAGTTGATTAATGACTTCAAACTACCATGAACCTACTGTATGCCATATTCGACCACTTCCACAGCACTCATTTTACCTTTTCTCTGCCTTTAAGTCTGCCTGTCTGTCACTTTTACATCTGTGAATCACTCGTATGTCCCCCCCCCCTCGACTTTTTGTGACTTTGATGTTCCTCCTCCTCCTCTTTGTGAAACCCGAAGTCAACTAAAGGGCTAGTGCTAACTATCAAAACGCTTGCAATTTGAAATAAATAAATAATAAAAAGGTAGGTGAGGGGGGGGGGGGTAGGAAGAGAGGAACAGATTGAGTACAAAAAATTATGACGAGACTAAAGTCATTCTTCTCCCAGTGGTCTATTTAAATGCTGTCATAATTATTAGTACCACACAGAGTAAGCAAAAAGTTTTGAAAATTTTAATTGTAGATAGCAACTAGCATTAAACTCAAATAGTGGCAAAAGAGGGTAAACAGAAGAGACGCATCAAAAGGTCTTAGGTAGTACCTAAGGTGGGAAGGAACTCATGCTCAAAATCCGAGTTCCTCTTACTGACTGATGTTATTTAACCCTTAGGGATCGGTCTTGCCTCATCGATCATCCCCTCCCCCTCCCGCCATACAGTTGACAAGATCAATGGTATTCTGCGATTCACAGGTTAATTTTTTTTCAGCCTAGACAAACTGTATTGGTGTTTGCGCCACTAGAAGAAGGAAGTATACAACAGGAGTTTAGATACAATTTAAAAATCGTAGCTGGGCTCCACTCTTGTGTCTCCATTGATTACCAATAAGGTGACTACTTCAAAAAATATTTATTTCAAATGGCAGGCGTCTTGATGACTTCAAACTACCACGACCCCCCTGGTTGTCATATTCAACCCCTTTCACAGTACTCACCTTACCTTCTTCTCTACCTTTGTGTCTGTCTGCCTCTTTTACATCTGTGAATCGCTCTTCTGTACCCCACCCCTCGACTTTCTGCTACTTTGATGAACCTTCTCTCTGTGAAGCCCGAAGCCAGCTAAATGGCTAATGATAGCTATCATAACGCCTGCCATTTGAAATAAATAAATAATTGATGATTATCACTAGCCCATTAGTTGACTTTAGGCTTCACAGAGTGGAAGGAGGAACATCAAAGTGAAAAAAAGTTAGGGAAGGGGGCGGGAACGGAAGAGTGCTTCAAAGACGTAGGTAAGGTGGAAAAATCGTGAGGTGAGTACTGTGAAAGTAGTCGAAAATGACATACAGTCGAGTCCATGGTAGTTTGAAGTCAGAAGTCAACTGACCACGTGGAGGTA